AGGAGCTGAAATGGAGGCCATGGTGGAGTGTCACTTGCTCCTTATCACTTGTTCAGCCTACTTTCTTATAGAACCCAGGATCACCCATCCAGAGCTGCACCCTTTCATGGAATGGGTCCACTCAATCAAGGAAATGCAAATGGGGCATTTTCTCACTTGAGCTCCACTCTGCTAAAATGCCTCTAGACTGTGTCAAGTTGGCATAAAAAATCAGCAAGGACAGCAGACATAGTAAAAACTGCCTCCTGAGTTCTTACCCATAGATAATGAACCAACCCCCCTTGGAGCTTCTTTTAGCAATAGATGCTAATTAATACAGAGATTCACAGATGGTCAACAACATAGAGAAAAAAAAAAGACTGTGTAGTGTTCTGCTCTAAATGTGACATCTATGGTATACCCAGTCAATAGCCCCAACCCTCAGGGATTATTATGGCATAGGTATCAAGAAAGATTTGAACTCAGATCCTCTGGAAGAGCAGCTAGTGCTCATAACTGCTGAGCCATCTCTCCAGTCCATGTTTCAGTGGCTAGCAGCATGTATTGTTCTTCCAGAGGATCCAAGTTCAATCCCCGTACCCATATCATGTGTCTCACAGCTGTCTATCACCAGCTCCAAAGGGATCCTTGCTTCTACAGGCAAGACACATTCATATGCACATGCCCAACCTTCCCCCAATAACAAAAATAAATATAAATAAACAGACAAACAGGTTCATAACTATACAGTCATAAGGTGTCATTTGGGGCAGGGGAGAACGATTCTAAGAGCCTGTGACAGTTTCTGCGATGAAACAGTGCTGGATATGACAGAAATATTGCAGCCATAAACTCCCAGCATCCATGACAGCCTGGCTGTACAGCATCAAACCAGCTGAAATCTCATTGTGGATGGAGGAGGGGCTCATGAAGTCCTGAGCCCAGCTGAGGAGCTATTGCAATTCCTGGCTAACGGGAGAGGGAGATTCAGTTTTAGTCAGGAATATGTTCTCTGAGAGATTCCAATAGATGATCCTGAACCCGTGATGTACAGACAGCACTAAGTGGATTCAGTGGGCTCAGAAAGAGAGCACATGAATTTTAGAGGTAAAAGTGGTTGGGGGAATAAGAGAGGAAGGAATTGGGGAAAGGCTTGATTAAAGCATATTATGGGCATGGATGAAATTCTCCAGTGATGGAAAAGAATGTAAGTAATAGAGGGCTTATTTGATTGTAGGTCATTTGATTGCGGTATGAACACAGACACCTATTTTCAGTTGTTTTTCTCATAAGTTAAAAAAAAAAAAAAAGCTTCTCTAGCCTGTCTGTAATCCCAGCACTCAAAAGCTGAACCAGGAGAATTATCACAAGTCTTGTTTACACTCTAAGCTCCAAACTAGCCTGGCTGTAGAGTGAGACATGGTCTAACAATAAAATTTAAAAAACAAACAAACAAAAGAAACAGAAAATGAAGCATGACTCAGCACAGTGGCTGCTCTTGTGGAGGACCCAGGTTTGGTTCCCATTATCCACAAGGAGGCCCACAGCCATCTGTGACTTTAGTTCTAGGAAATCCAGTGTCCTCTTTCGGCCTCCTGGAACACCAGCCCATGTGGTACCCGTACATTAGTAAATTCTGGCAAACACTCAGTCTTATAAAAGAGAAATAAATATTTTAAATAAAATAGTTTCAAGAGGCCGGGTGGTGGTGGCGCATGCCTTTAATCCCAGCACTTGGGAGGCAGAGGCAGGCGGATCTCTGTGAGTTCAAGACCAGCCTGGTCTACAAGAGCTAGTTCCAGGACAGGCTCCAAAACCACAGAGAAACCCTGTCTCAAAAAAAAAAAAAATAGTTTCAAGACTTCGAGTTTCTACAAGCTCCCAGCCCAGTACAGCCTTGCAGATTTATGATAAACATCCTATTCATTTTGTCCTCCACTCTAAACACTACACTTTCTGTTCACATACTCTTTCCTTTGAACTAGGTCAGTGGTCCAGTGAGCTCTCTTTCTCTCACCCCCCACCCTCCCTCCCTCTTTTTCCTTTTATCCCTTTCTCTCCCTACTGTCTCCTTCCCCTCCTCCCCTCCCCCCTCTCTTTTGAGACAGACTGGATTGATACTGTTTCAGTCTCTGGAATGCTAGGATCACAGGCATGGGCCACAAAGTTCCATCCCAGTGTTCTATTAATGGGTCCTCCCTTCCAGTTTCTCCATGCTGAAACCAGAATACATACTCTACAGCACTGTTGTGGGAATTTTTACTGGAGAGACATGAACTGACATCTTACCCCAGTCAACAGTTCAAAGTAATAGTCCCACCCACATCCAACCTGCTGAAACAACAAGCTTATTTGGCATGGGTAACCCCAAGAGAGCTGTATCACTGAAAAGTCAGGTTCCAGCATGATGGCCACGTCTACAGCTGTGTGGCCTCGCTCCCTGTTAACTTTCCATCTCCTATAAAAAAACTCCTACCTGGGCTGGAGAGGTGGCTCAGAGGTTAAGAGCACTGCCTGCTCTTCCAGAGGTCCTGAGTTCAATTCCCAGCAACCACATGGTGGCTCACAACCATCTGTATTGAGATCTGGCGCCCTCCTCTGGCGTGTGGGCATACATCGAGGCAGAATGTTGTATACATAATAAATAAATAAATCTTTAAAAAAAAAAAAAAGTAAAACAGGGTTTAAAAAAAAACTCCTACCTGCAGAGCCCATTTGCACTGGGACAGACTGCCTCCACTGGGATGGGCGACACGGGAGGTGGTGGTGCTTGTGGCCTCAGGTGAGACCCTAACTATCGTCCCTCTCCCGCCTCTCTTAGGGAATGTGTACAGGCCAGTCTTGTTAAAGGCCCCTTGTGGGTCAGTCCGGCTGCTCTGATTAGGATGATAATGAGCTGCTGTGCTTGAGCAAAGAGTTTGCAACAAATGCAAAGTACCGTTAATAGCGGCCTGTGTCCTACAAAATAACGTCTCTGATGATGGCAAGTTCCTTTTCCTTTCCTCATGTGTTATTAAGGTATTTCATCAAGAAACTATTTTGACTTTTTTTCCCCTTCGTCCTGTCCTCCTCTTTCACTCAGTCTCATATGTGAAATACATTCCTCAACCACAAGTATGTGCTCTCCATGGTGCTTTTTGCCCACAGGGTACAACCAAGGCTTTTACTTTTCAAGGTAAACTGTTATTTGTGTCAGGGACCCAAAGGATGGAAGAGAACGCAGAGCATTTTACTTACAATCTGACCCAATAGCCCTAGAATGCGACCGCTCCCGCCATCCGGCCACTTCAGCTGCCTCTCTGTTGCTCCGCGAGCAGACAACTGTATTTTTGTTTGCACATGCTCAGCCCAGCTTTTCTCTTCCCAACACCCCACTCACTCACTTCTCAAGCCCTGATCAAGTTATGCCTACTTTAAATTTCCCCAAGGAGAAGTAGTCATTTCCTACGTTGTGTCCCCAAAGTTCTTCTACTTCCCTCTCTTACAACAGATGTTTTTGTGATATTGTAATCATTAGACTTACTCCTTTGGTATTACAAACCAGCCTTTATTCACCTAGTCACTCACTCCAGTCAACAAATTATCTGGCACTCACAGCTGCTGAAAACTGTTTTTGAAGAAAATTAATATTAGGATATGGGCCTGTTCCTTTAGACCAGACCTGAATGACGCCTTGCAGCACTCTCTGGCAGAGTTAGGAAAATGTGTGCTGTGACTGATAGCTCTCCATGCTCTTTGTCACGCATGCTGTGTTGAACAATACCATGTGATGCGGAACTTCCTGCCACTCCTAAAAGGTTATAAAATATTAGACCTTTCCTTTGTTCTCGGGATTGATCTGATACTCCTCATAGGGATTTTCTCAGGAGGTGCTCTGAAGACTCCTTTGGTCTCCTCCCACAATACCCTCTTTGTGTGTCCCCTCAATCTCACTCACAATGAAATTCCCCTCCGAGTGTTAAAGGGAAACCAGTCTTTTCGCTTTCAAGCCCTGTCATGTTTAGCTCTCCAAATTATACTTTCTAATGGTCTCCCTTCCACCTCAAGGCCCCATTATGGCCCCAAAGTCTTCTCTTTTCTAGTAAACTTCATATCTGAAGGGAACCCTGAATTATGTGTTAGTCTTCCATCCTGAGCTGCCTCATGGTATTATCTTTTTATTATATTTAAAACAAATAAACAGAGAAATTCAGCATTAAGCCTAAATCCTATGATAATCCAAGTCTCATGCCAAGTGAGCTAAAACAGCCCATCACCAGGGAATAGTGACTGTGTTAGAAAGACAGAAGGCTGCATCAGTGCGTGAAGCTGCGTGCCCACACATCGGTCTGATGGCTCTTGAAAGGCAGGCGTGCTGAACAACAAAGATGGCAGAGGGCTGAGGAGCCAGAGGGATTTGTGGCTCAATTTGTTTCCTTCATAATTTAGACTGAGGGCCATCTGAGTTTGGGAAAGGCTATCTGTTCATCACTATAGGGACCTGTGGCCATCCAAGTTCCTAAGGTGGGCACAACCAGCAAAGTATTAGGCCTTCTTCTTTTCAGCACTTGGGAAGCTGGTTGAAGGCAGGAAAGCCCACCCTACCAGCAGAGATAAATACCCAATCATGATCACAGATGAGATATTCGCATTTATTCTTTGCCCTCTAGGCCCTGTGTTCTCTGAGTGCTTCATTTGGAAATCAAGTCACTCAAATTGACATACTTGCCCCACACACCTCACCTTTGGAGGCCAATTATGGTCTAGGCTTCTAATGAAAGAGGACCATACTTGGGTACCTACCTTCCCTTGTGAGAACTCATTTACACAGAAGAGAAAATGAAGCAATGAAAGGTTGAACGAGGCCTTTGGGACAATGAAGACAGGACAATAAGAGCCTCCCCCATGCCCTTTTCCGGATCTTGGCCATTCTCAGTCACCTCCCTTCCTGTAGGCATGCTGAACTCAGCACATCTGTCTCTATCATCCCTGAGCTCAGCATATCTGTCTTCCAGCCCCCTGGGCTCACTGGCTCTGGGCCATCTGATAAAACTCCTGTTGCACACAGGACTTGTCCCTCTTCCTTCCCTAGCATTCAAACCCAGCCTTGCTGCCCGAGACCTAGATCCAGCACACCGGCTTCAGCTGCCTGGCTCATGGCTCTCCTGTTAAACTTGATGCTCGGTGAGTTTCTCTGCTCCTGTTTGTCTAGACTTCAGGGCTTTCTGGAAACTTCACCAGGAGGGTAGTTTCTGATCCTGATTCAGGTATCTTTCAAGAATAGCTTTCTATAGATGGTAACTTGCTCTAAACCTTAGAAAACCCCCAAATCCTTATTTGAAGTTTGCCTTAATTGCCAGGTTTTTGTCTATTCCCTGTATTTACACATCTCACATGCATTTCCTTGTGCACACATTCCCTAACTGCACTATTACTAAGGGAGAAGACTAGATGGCCGGTGACAGTCAGGCAGAGCAAGGGGAAAGTCATGGGGATTTTCTTTCTGTATCTCGGTTCTTTTAAAAAGTATTTATTTAAGAAAAAGAAACAAAGAAAGCAGAGCTGCAGGATAATCATCCTTCATTTGTCTGTTAGTCTAGTGTCCTCTGAGTACGTCACACAGTTCTCTAATTTTCCCAAGGTCAGTCTAGATCAGGGGTTCTGAACCTGTGGGTCTCAACCCCTTTCGGGGTTGAACAACCCCTTCACAGGAGTCGCCTAAGACCATCGGAAAACACAGATATTTACAATATGATTCACAACAGTAGCAAAATTATAGTTATGAAGTAGCAGCAAAACTAATTTTATGATTGGGGTACCACAACATGAGGAGATGCATTAAAGGGTCACAGCATTAGGAAGGTTGGGAACCACTGGTCTAGACATAAGATAATCTGGAGTTTTGGTGTGCAAAGAAATACTATGTTTAGTCATGGCTCTTAACTGAATTTGTGGTTACCATACTTCTCTGAAACTTTGCTCTCTGATCCATGAAGTAAAGATAAAGTTAGTCCCCAGAAATTTTTAAGAGGCTTTTCTGTGTTGTATGTAAGTTTAACAGAGGAAGACCTTGTGTTGTTGGCCGCCTTATTTTGAAACTGTTTGTTTCATTGACCTGAAGCCGGCCAAATAGTCTAAACTGGTTGGTCAGTGAGCACTGGGGAGTCTCCTGTCTCTGTCTATCCCCTGCTAGCACTATAAATTCATATCCTGCTAGAAGCCCTTTAATAATGTAATTAATATGTGATATTGAATGATGTCTACTGATCTGCTATCCTAACAAGTCACATCCAATTTTAGTGTCTTGATTACTGAGAACATCACCAAAGCCCACACTCTTCTTTGGGTTTCATATGTCCAGCAAAGTGTCCCGACCATATCTTAAACATTTTTACATCCCAGCAGAAGTCAACAACTAGCCTCCAAGGCTCACCTACAGTTTCACCTCCTTCACAAAGACCTTCAGATCTATGGCACCTGCTCCTGTCAATGGTGCTCAGAAAGTCCAAGCCCTTTATTGGCTATACCACTTCTGCTCCTGTGTATCAGCTGGCAACATTCACTTTCCTCTCATATCCTCCTGTTTTGTGTCAGAGGTTATGCAATGCACAGATATTATATAACTGAGTCCTAGACAGTTGGAATATACAAGGCCTCCATCTGAAAGTGGGCTCACTGTGAAGATGAAGAGGCTCCTCCAGGCATGGGACACACACATTTAATCCCAGCACTCAGGAGGCTGATCTCCGAGTTCAAGGCCAGTCTAGTCTACAAAATGAGGTCTAGGACAAACAGGGCTACAGAGAAACCCTGTCTTGAAAAATAAACAAAAAGAAAAAAGAAAAAGAAAGGAAGAAAGGAAGGAAGAGAGCTATTTGCTTTGAAAACTCTGGACTGGTCCAAATATATTTGCTCATTCAGGAAAATCCTATAACACATGTGGTGGGCAAATTACATAATTGAAAATGCTTAGCTTCAGGGGCAGCTGAGGGTTACAGGACTTCGCAGTGTGAAGAAGCTGACAGGAGAGCCAAGCATACACAGACTAGAAAGTCGCTCATATTCCAAAGGTGTGCTGGAATTTGGGAATTCATAAAAAGCTGGCCTGGCCTGCTGATTAAAATTAAGCTTTGATGAATCACAGTTTACAAGCTGCAAGTGATTTTTACAATGTTAAATGGTGGAGGGAAATCAAAATGAAAATATCATTTCACAATGCATAAAAATTACCTGAAATTTAAAATTATGTCTATAAACAAAGGTTTCCAGGAAATCAGGCAATGCATCTCTGCATCACTGGGGCAGAACTGAGTGGTTGTAACAGAGCATGCAGCCTCCCAAATCTAAACTTTTACTACTGGCTCCATACAAAGGAGTTTGCCTACTCCCATCTAAATGCAGTTCCAGCAAACACAGCTGATCGTGCCTTGCCCATGTTATATCATTGCCTTCCCCACCAGTGACTGCTTGGTGGCCTCCAGTGCTCTTTTCTGTGAACCAAAATGCTACATCACCACACTCACACTTGAAGCAGCTATAGTCAATCAGTGTAAATAGCAGAAGTGGATACTGCCAGGCCCAATGCCTGAGTGGAGTTACAGTCAAAAGCAAAGGACAGTCAAGTCAGCTGGTTTGCTGGTTTGACCTCTGTGGTTCCCATGGTTTCCTTTGAGGCTGGTGCCAGGAGAAGAAGGCCATGACAGGGCTACCCTCGGTGGCTGTGTCTCCCATGTTCCCTTAAGAAGTTTGGCAAGGGTGATTTAAACAAAGACTTGGAAATTTGCTCTCTGACTTTACTTCCCTTTGCTTTCCTTAGCCATCTCAACCATTTTTGTTGAATCCTGCCTCTCAGGTAAGGATTTTTTTTTTTTTTGTCTATCTGGGTTTGGGGAGTTTGTTTTGTTTGTTTGTTTGTTTGTTTGTTGCATTCTCAAGAGAGAAACCTCTAGGTTTAGGACTGAAGAAAATCTGTAGCTTCCTGAACTGTGAAGAGATTGAAACCAGGCCAAACAACCACTTTTATAGCGTGTACGCCAACCAATTGGGCCTTGTGTGGATGGGTTTCCACCTCCAGAGACTCCTAGATGGGTCAGGGTGATTTTCCTGCCAGGAGTCCTCTGTGGCCAGAGCAATCTACGCTACATCTAAACAGGATACATAGGTCTTCACATTTGGCCCTTTGTGGCCTTGCCCAAGAGAGAGATTCCTTTTTTCTCCTTCAGCCTTATCTACAGCTTTGAAGAAGCAATGCCCAGGAAAGGGGAGCCCAGAGGTCAGCCTCCATTAGCTGCCTCCTCGAGGAGCCTGCACAGTGGTGAGAGGGACGGTGCCGAGGGCAGAGAAGGAGAAGGCGGGAACCACAGACGATGCTTTTACACTACCACTCTATGCTCTCTTTTGCGGGATGATGGAAGCGTGACCAGAGACAGATCCACACATTATTATATTGAGACCCTCTGCCACACAGATGCATCTTGATGTGTTAGGGTACTGCTTCTGGGTTCCCATCCTGGTGATGAGATCACTGATCTTTTTCTCTTAGCCTCCGTGGTTGTCACCAGCACGGCACTACCTGGTCTCATTGCAGTCTCCTCACACCAAGGATGTTGCCCCTCACAAACCCTATCTTCCTTCTTTAAAGACTACTGTTAGGACACTGCCAAGACTGCAGTTGCCCTCCCTGCCTCTTCTCTCAAGCTGAATTTCCTCAACTCGATTATCTCCAGTCAATTCCTTTCCATCCATCCTTGCTGACATCTTGCTTTATGTCATGTGTTCTGGAAACTGCTCTCTAGTCTTCTACTCCATAAAAATAAGTAAATATAAAAATTCATTAGAACAAGACTTTTATAGTTCAAAATAAAATGTTAGCCAATGCATGATCCTGATAGCAACTTTTTCCTGCTCTGCAAAATAATGCCAACCCAGACTCTAATCTTAGATCCAATGACCCAGAAACTGCTTCCACATGACACTCTTGGTTTATATCTGTACCAAGATTCATAAACTTGAAACTCAAGTGCACAACAGTGGAAACATTCTTTGTTAGAAAGAGCATTCTTTATTTGTATTTTTGATAATTCTGTACATGTAAACTGTGTGTCTTGATAATAACCCTTTTCATCTTCTCCCTCCCACTTCTCCAGGCATCCTCAACATGTCCCTCTTCCTTCTTCATGTCCTCTCCTGAAAACAAACAAAAACCACCTTAAAAGTCCAAAAGAGGCACTGATTTCGATTGGTGCTGCCTATTGGACTGTCAGCTGATCTTGTTGGTGTCATCTTGTGCAAGTCTAATGCTGCTAATTGTAGCTGCTATGAGTTGGGAAATTACTGCATGGTGCTCAGAAGACAGCACTTCATGGCACTCCTCCCCATCCTTTGCCTTTTAATCTCATTCTTCTTCTTCCACCATGTTCCCTGAGGTGCTGATATAGACATCTTATTCAATGGTCTCTTATTCTCAGTACCTTGGCCAGCTATGATCCTCTTTATTAACTGATGCCCATTGCAGAGAGAAGATTCTCTGGCCAAAATTGAAGAAAGCACTAATATACATGTACAAATACAAATATTTAGAAAACAGTCTGACAACATGTCCATTTAGTAAGACAAAGGCAGTAAGTTACCCCCCCCCATGACCTATGACCTCCCCAGTCATGAACTTTTGATAGGGCTTATAGTACCAAGTATGAATTCTCTCTTGTGGAGCAGGCCTCAAGTTCAGTCCAAAAGCAGTTGATTACCCCATCACTTTCTTGCCACTGTACTGCACCAATTAGTGAGCTTGCATATTTTAACTGCAAAGTCAATCTACAGAAGGCAAGATTCACCACTAGGTACACCACTGGTGACTTTTCTCCCCGCTGCAGCCTGCATAGCAACTTTGATGCTACAAAAGCGAACAGGGAGGAAATTTTCAGGTCAGTTCCAGCTTGATTTCTCTACATCCTACAACCGTATGATGCATCTTCAGCAACAGTACCTTAACATTTATTTATGGTCAGCAACCAAGAACAATGACAGTAGTCTGTGTTGTTTATGGAGCCTCTGGGCCTCCCTAGCCAACAACTCACAAGGAAGTATCTCAGGCTGAACACTGAGATTTTCATGTCTTCTAGTGGGAAGCATTATGCACCCACATAGGGTACCTGTGTTCAAATTCATTCTTTCAAAACAATTGTGTTTTTAATTATCCTACAAAGTGTTGGGTTTCCATAACAGGTCTTCATAGATCCCTGCTTTTGGCTAAGTTGCCCCACACTTTCCTCTCCTCTGTCTTCAAGCCCCTAATCCTATTTAAACTTTAACCTCTAGGATTATTACTCTACCTTTAGTCTATCCTGCCAGCTCCCTCATTCCTTAAGACCTCTTCCTCTTCCCCTCTCATGTGTCTTTCTAACTTTCTTCATAAACACTCCAAATTAAACATACAAACCTAAACATTTCGTGTTAGGATCCACACAAGAGAGAGAACTTGTGATGCTCATCATACTGGGTCTGGATGACTCAGTACATGATTTTCCAGATCCATCCATTTTCCAGCAGATTTCATAATTCCATTTTTCTTTAAGGCAAGTAAATTTCCACTGTGTATATGTGCCATATTTTCATTCTCCATTTTTCTGTTGATAGACATGTAGGCTAATTCAACTTCCTGTCTTTTCTTAGTTTTTTAATGGTTACATTTTAACTTGTAGGCTTAGTTTCAATTCATAATACTGCTTTTTCCCACAAAAAAATTAAAATGAACCAGTAAACAAAACGTAATTTTCCAAATAAAGCTTAAAAATAGGCAGGCCAAACTGGTCTAAGTCAACTGCTGTTCGTGAGTTGACTCCAAGTTTGGGGAGTTTGCACAAGGTTGAAACAGAGTAGAGAGTGGGAAATCCTATTTTTGGGAATCAGACTGTGACCATGTAGACATTCACAGTGATTTTTACTAAGGTGTCAATCTCAGATCCAGCCACAGAACACCAGACCAAATGTGGTCTCTTCTACTACATTTGACCTCTCAGTTGACTTTGTCATTAATTGAAGATGTTATTAATTCAGCCCTCTGTTGTACTACTTGGAGGCTACAGCGATTTGGCAAGATTGTTTGGAACTGGAATAAAAATCTCTCAAAGGGAATAAATCCCAACTTGTCCCTCATCCTTATTTTGAGTTCCCAAAGCAATACTGGAAGCATGGAATTTTTCAATACATATGTATTATCTGAAAGGCTTGTCGTCAATTTCCCTAACTCCCTTCTCTTCCCTACTTTCTAGTGGGAAGGATAAAATTTATGTTTTTTTCCCCATACACAGAGTTTTAGTAAGAAAATACAACTAAATCCTTGATTCCTCAGAACCTATAGAGAGGCTCCAAAGAACCTCCTTCTTTCCCATAGACCTCTAGTTGAAGCACTGACTCTCCCCTTGCTAATTTCTTCTGAGCTAGGTTTTTGGACAGGATTGGTGTTATAGGAAACAGCAGGAGAGGAAAAGAGAAAGAAGGAGGGGGTAGAAGGGCAAGTGGAATACGGAGGGAAAGGGCAAGAGGTGAGATGAGAACAAAGAGAAGAAAATGTGTTGCTACTATCTCAATCTGGTACCACAAGAGAAAGTCATGAAAACTGAAAGAACTGAACAATATCATCCTTACGCTTTGTTCTGAACTAGGGCCCACAGTAAGAGCCACTACTTCTATGAGGAGAGCTTTCCTTCTCTATGAAATCGAGGGTAGACATTTATTGGTCCTCTCATTCAGACCACTAGAGAGTCTAAAATCTCTGCCAAGTCTTCAGCCAGCTTCTTTGTCTCAATTGTGGATCTGATAAGGATATCAGTATGTCTGTGTGTTTTGAAATGGCATTTCTGGGTTGTATACAATTAAGAGCAAAAACACATCCTGAAGTTCCTTTACCTCTCCTGTTCTGACTCCAACTCCTTCTGGGCTGTCTGTCAAAGGTATATGGGCCCCAGAATGACTGCATATGCCTCTAGGCACACATTTGCTTCTCTGAGGCCTCCAACTAGTATGTCATCTCTTTGTAGAGTCTCCATCCAAAGTTCGGCTGGTAGGAGGCGCTCACCGCTGCGAAGGGCGAGTGGAGGTAGAACGCAATGGCCAGTGGGGGACTGTGTGTGATGATGGCTGGGACTGGGATGACTTGGTAGTGGTATGCCGGGAGCTGAATTGTGGAGCAGCCAAGAGAACCCAAAGTGGTGCATCATATAGGCCACCAGCACCAGAAGATCAAAAAGTTCTTATTCAAGATGTCAACTGCAGTGGGGTTGAAGATACATTGTCTCAGTGTGAGCAAAATGAGGACGTTTATAACTGCCCACATTCGGAAGATGCTGGAGCACGGTGTGTGAGTAAGTATGGGAGGCTCAAGGACCATCTTCCAGTAGTCTATACCACACGAGGTATATTAGTCATTCTATTAGTCATTGTTTTCTGTCCTGACTTTCTCACAGTGCTGCAATGAAAGATGGCAACGTCATCTCTACATTTCACACTTTCTTGACTGAAATGTGAATATAATAAGAGCCACAATTGTTGCCCACATTGTTTCTTTCTCAGTTTCCAGTTAGATATGATGTTCAATTTCTCTTATTTATATACATGCAAACAAATCTACACAGATCTGTCAGCACCTGAACATGTGTTCGACGTCTATGTCTGCAGCTGAATGGGGTTATGGAAGAGCTCATGGGATTTCATATGTGTTCTTGCGAACATTGTGGTTCTTAAGTGGTCTGCTTGCTTAGTTGGGGAGACAGGAGATACTGGTAGGAAGACAAAGCAATCTCACAGACAGACAGACACAGGCATATAAATATGCAACCAACGCAGTCACCCAGATAAATGGGCACAACATTGTGTGACCGTTCACTGTTCTACACAATTAGCTCTCTCTGAATTAACAGTGTGTCTGTGCTTTCTGCAAAGACTGTGAATCGCTGCAAGGCTGACTCTGTCCCTTTCTTTTGTCTCCCCACAGGATTCATCATTAAGGAAAAGATGCCTTAATGAAAACCTTTAGGAAAGTCAGGGTTTGGGAGCATTAGTCTGGGACCTTTGATTTATGACAACATTGAGCCAAAAATATTTTCACATTTAATGTTAATATTTGTGTTTATTAATGTTTAAATCTATAGATTAACATTAGATCTATAGCTCTTAACTTTCTTTTATGAGGAAAAATAAGTTGAATATGGAAGTCATTTGAAACACTATAATGCTACAGAAATGATTATGATTTATTTAGGGACTGAGAAACCATCCCTTCATTCCCTTAGACACCGTCCACTATGTGGTGCTTACTACTCTAATAGCCTTGTACTGGCCACCAAGAACTGAGCCCATGTAACCAGACTCCATTTTCTGAGAAGACCATGTTCTGACATGGAACAGACATTGCTTAATCCTTTCTTTCCAGACCCAGACAGCGATGTGCGACTAGTAGATGGTCCGGGGCGCTGCCAGGGCCGAGTGGAGGTGCTACATCAGGAACAGTGGAGCACTGTGTGCAAGGCAGGCTGGAACTTACGGGCTGCAAAGGTGGTGTGCAGACAGCTGGGATGTGGGCGGGCACTACTGACCCACAGGTGCTGCAACAAGATGACTCAGGGCAAAGGACCCATCTGGATGAGGCAGGCGTCATGTTCTGGACAAGAAGCAAACCTTCAAGACTGCCTTCTAAGGCCTTTGGAGAACAATTGTACCCATGATGAGGACACGTGGATGGAATGTGAAGGTAATGGAAGATGATGATCCTGCATTCAGAGATTAGTTTTATTCATAAATGTGGTTAAATGGAAACCCAGGCAAATGATATTTACAAAGCTACTCATGCACTAAAGGTCATTGTAAATTTTTGTGTAGATTGCCAATTTTCTTAAGAATGACTGCCTTTGTAGAGGTAAACAAAATTGTACATTGTGCAATCATACTATGAGCTATGCTATGGAATTCTGTAAATAGGAATATCTGCTGTGCCCTTTGGTTTATAATAACCACTAGAAAATTCCTTATACATGGTATGTATAAATAAACAATATATATTTATGAATACAATATATAGGTATTCTGTTTTAAAAGTGAAGTGAAAACATTCTAGTTAGGGAAACAGCCTTGGCCACAGGAACTGGAAATAAATGGAAGGAGACTTAGGGAAGGAGATGCTGTCATCAATGCACACATAGAGAGCTTCAAACTTATTGGTGAGGTTTTGGTGCCTATGTACATAATCTTATTTTTTCTCTTTTCCTTTCATCTCTTTTATGTTATCACCTTCCTCCTTCAACCTGCAGATCCCTTTGAGTTGAGGCTGGTTGGAGGAGACAACCCCTGTGCTGGGAGGTTGGAAGTGCTGCACAAGGGTACATGGGGCTCTGTCTGTGATGATAGCTGGGGAGAAGAGGAGGACCAAGTGGTATGCAAGCAACTGGGCTGTGGGAAGCCCCTCTCTCTATCCTTCAAAGCCCAAAAAAGCTACAGACCTGGTGCAGGCCGCATCTGGCTGGATGATGTGGTTTGCTCAGGGAAGGAGAAGTCCCTGGAGTCCTGCCAGCACAGGCTGTGGGGGTATCATGACTGTACCCACAAGGAAGATGTGGCAGTGATGTGCTCAGGTAAGTCCTAGTGCCCTACTAAGGTGCACTCTAGTGGTCAGGGTAATTCCACCCGGGCTGCAGAGCCACAGTAGTCATCAGCCTGCTCTGCTTTACTTTGGAGTGGGGGAGAGGTTGGTGATGGGCAAGGAGAGATATCTTTAAAATACAATTATTGAATATAAGAATAATAGGAGTCGGTCAGTGTTCTTATATTAAACATGAAAAAAGTCAAGAAAATAGTTTGCCAAACCATGAAAATGACTTTAAAATCACACAGCAGAACCAAATTTATTAATCTTTGCTTTCTGTCCCAGGTTAGTTCCCTTAGGTGACCCCAACCTTCAAGCCCTACATTTGAGCTAACTGTAGGAGGTGACTTGACCTCACTCTGTTATGTTTCCTGAACCCTGTTTCCAGTGTGTGTGTAAGAGAGCTGGGTGGCTTGACAACGCCTGTGGGCATCTTACCAGAAAGTACAGGATCCCAGTCTTCAACCATTGGCCTCTTCAAAGGGTAGAAGGAGAGGAAATTCAAGTGTAGCCCCTGACTAACTGAAGGGCTGTAACCCAGCTGTGGAATCAGGATGGGGAGGTGGCTATGTGGAGCTTTTTGCTTTAAGTAATTAACTTTGAAGTCAGATGTACTCCAGGCATGAATACAGTCAACCATATTTCCCCTGCATTCTGCATCTCCGGATTCAGGAGTATCTGAAGAACAAAACTACACCTGTACTGAAGATACCGATTTACCTTATTGTTATTCCTTTAATAAGGCAGCCTGACAGCTATTTATACTGCAGTTGTATTGCTTCTGCTGTTATAAGTAATCTACACATGATTTAAAGCACATAGAAGGGTATGATCAGGTTATTTGCAAATCTTTGTGTACTTCACCTGTGGATTTTGGCATCCTTGGGGAAGCTGGCATCCGGTGTCTGTCGATGCCTAAGAAGGCCTGTGCTGTTCATGACTTACAGGGGACATAACTGTTGTACCTTTGGAGTACAGCTTCAGTTTGTGACCATATCATTGTGGGCTATGCATGTGGATTATCTCTTTCCTTTTCTGGCCCTCGATCTGCTCCCTTGGTCAGTTTAGCTTGAGGGGAACAAATCTTTCTAGGCCTAATTTCACTCTTCTCTTTACAGAAAGCACCCCGGAATTTGATGTGTAACCTTGATCCTTGCCTGACCTGGATCCCTGCTGCTTGCTTACTTGGGCCCTGATTCTCCAAGTGATTATAACTGGTCAAGGACTTTAGCCACCTCTCCCTGAGCCCTTGAGAGAGTGGACAACGTACTCATATCTTGATCTCAGGGATGCACACCCCATAATCACCTCAAGATAAGAACTGCTGAGCTCCCTGGATGAAGAAGTGTTTCCAGTTGCCCTATGCCTTCCATTCTCTTCCCAGCCTATCTGCAACTCTTGGGCCTCACATGTGACTAAGGCACGGCCTGTTTATAATAACATCAAGACTGTGAAAACAAAAGGAGGGCTTAAAGGGAATTATGGGTAGACAGCATTTTAGGGGTATGGAGAAAATAGACTTTTTTGAGGCTTTGAAACTTTTAGAACAAGTGAAGTGATCATAACAACAACACTGCACTGCTCTGCCGTCTCTCAGGAGTCGCAGAGTGCTTTCCTGCAGCGCTTGGATGTTTCTCACTGAGTTCTAGGTATCTACCCAAAGCTCATACATTTGAAGTTTGGTGTCTGATGTGAACAGTATCCTGAGGCAGGGCCTTTGGGACCTAACTGCATCACATGGTCTGATCCCTCAGCCTTTATGAATGAATTAAGCCCTGATGAATCCACTGGGAGGTGATAGAAACTTCAGGAGTTGGGACCCAGTAGAGGAAGAAGGTTACTGGGGCTTGCCTTTGGAAGGGGACATGTTGTTCACAGTTTGATCCCCTTCCTGTGTTCAAGGGTTGATTCTGTATCTTAGCTTTTGTGAATTATGCTGCAATAAACATGAGTGTTTGGGTATTTCCTGATATGCTGATTTATTTTCTTGGATTTATGCCCAAAAGTCAGTTGCATTTTTATGCACATAGCCATCTCATCCCTGTGGAGAAATCATCATAAACTCTTTGAGCAGTGTAGCCCTGCGCTCGTAGACCCTGTTGGTAGCTCCAGCTGTCTCAAGGGTTAATTCGCACTTTCCAGGGATCGGAAACTGTGACACAAAGTAGATTGACTTCTCCGGGTGAGTGGATTCCTAACCTGAACCTGGGAATGGACGTTTCTCACACATAACAGAGACCAGATAATCAGAAGAAACCTTCCATTGAGACACAGAAGTAACTGCAAAACTCATGCTCAGACAGAAACACACATGAGGCCAGATCTTGGGATCCAGTGGCATTCCTGACTTTATGTAACAAACTGCTATGTATTCATAGTCATTTTAAACACTGAGTTATCTGGTATTGGTTTTAGTACTTCTAACCAAGAACCCAACCAGTTTAGTCATTTCATATTAACGAAGTGATGATCCACCTGAGGCTGGCCAGATAAGTCAGTTGTCAGCAATGCAGATATTGTCATTGAATTTATATAACCAAGTTCGCAGATACAATAGCATGAGGACAAGGGCCTATAACAGGAGTACCACTCTGAGGTGTTGACCATGAGTGCCCTGGTTTGCCTGCTGAATGCTTAAAAGCTAATATTCACAAATATGAGAAAACATAACAGTATTTGCTTTTGGAGGTTTGGGTTACATTATTCATGATGATTTTCCTAGTTTGATTCATTTTCTGCTAATCTCATAATTTATTTTTAATAGCTAAATAATATTCCATTGTGTATTTGTACCACGGTTTTGTTAGTCACCAGCTGACAAATGTCTATACTGCTAACAGTTTCTGGCGATTTTGAATAAAGCAGCAGTGAACTTGGTGATCAAGTATCTCTAGAGAAGGCTGTAGAGGCCGTAGAGGCTGTAGAGGCTGTAGAGGCCTTTGTGTAAATGACCAAGACTAGTTTAACTGGATCTTGGGGTAGCTCTATTCCCAGTTTCCTGAGGAAACACCCACTGATCTCCATAGTGACTGTACAAGTTTTCCCTCCTACCAGCAGTGGATAAGTGTTCTCTTTTCCCCATATCTTCACCAGCATGGGCTGACTTTTGTTTTATTGATCTTCGCCATTCTAATTGGTAAAAGACAAAATTCCAAAGTAGTTTTGATTTACATTTCCCTGGTGACGAAGGGTGGTGAACATTTATTTAAGTATTTCTCAGCCATTTGTGTTTCATCCTTTGAGAATTCTTTACTTAGTTCTGGGCCCCATTGTTTTAAATTGGGTTGTTTGATTTCTTTATGCTCAGTACTTTTAGTTCTTTATACATTTCAGATACTAACCTTTTATTGGATGTCTAATTGATAAAGATCTTTTCCCATCCTGTGGCCTGTAGCTTTGTCTGAACAATGATGTCCTTGCCATACAAAAGCTCAACTTCATGAGGTCCCATTTATTAATTGTTGATCTTCTGAAGCGGTGTCGGGTCTTGTCAAATGCCTCTAATGAGATGATCATGCAGCTTTTGTCTTTCCATCTCTTTATATGGTGGGTGACATTTATCAGTTTACATACGTTGAACCATAACTGCATCTCTAAGATAGAAAGAGACAATGAAAGAGGGAAAACATGTAAAAATCTTACAAACACATGACAAATACTCAGCCAGCTTACTCAGGCATCTTCAGTGAGGAGGAAGCTGGTGCGTCTGAATGACTGAACCGAGAATGGACTCCTGGTAGGAATGTAAATCACTTGTGGAAATAACTTGCAGTTTCTTTAAAAGTTAATTATCTCCAGACTCAACAATTCCATTCAAATACTTATACATGAATATTTACAGCAATTTTGATCATAAGGCAATGAATGAATCTCAGAAATATCAAGTTAAGGAAAACAATTTAGAAACAACAAATATTATCTATTTTCAATTTTAGGAAGCCACGGAAATTAATGTAAAGTAAAATAATACAGATTAACAGTTACACAGACTTGGGGTTCCTGAGAAGCGGTAGGCACACACACACACACACACACACACACACACACACACACACACCACAGCTGGTCTGGGAGAAGTGAAGCACTGGACTCCAAGACACTGAACCTCCTATGGAATTTCTAACACTATGAAAAGTGAAAGGCTGAATGAAGCCTGGAAGCAGCCTGGCCTCCAGGAAAGAGATTCCACACATTACTAACCATAACAGGTGAAACTCAAGCCTAGACAAGAATGGGTCGACCAGGACTGCTTAGATGTGCACATCACTGGCCCTCTATTTAAACCTCAATGTCATTTTGAGCCCTAAGGATGAAGTAGGGAGGTCACTGTATCTCTTGTCCCTCTTAATATGGCCACACTGAATAGAAACCCTTTTTCCTGGTTTTCTGGTATTTATTTGGCCATGTTAAGTCACTTATTAAGGGTGAGTAGCTGCACCTGACTAGTAAGTTTTAATCAGGAAGGGGCCAAAGCAAGCCCCTGTCCCTAAAACACTGCCACACAATGGAATAGGGGCTCTCTGACTGAACCTGGCCTCGTAGACTTGTCTACAACCCTCTAGGAAGGAAAGAGTTCCTGCTGCAAAAGAATAAAGACTTGATTTATTCTGGAGTGAATATGAGCAACCATGGCCCAGAAACATGGGTTCAGGTTTTACTTTTTTTCCCAAATACAGCTTCCAAAGAAGTATCAAGTTCATTAACTTTTTGTAGTAACAGAAGAAAATCAGTCATAAAGTAACACACTTTTCAAATACATCACTAGGTATATCAAGTAGGTGGGTTATAGCAGAGCAGGAGGGCCTGACAGAATTATTAGACATTTGGAAAATAGGCATTCCCAAAGGATTTATACAATAGTGACAAAAGAGGTTAGTTCATGTATACAGAAGAGTAATTATTAATGGAGACAAAGATGCCCAAGCTAATCTGACCCTGGACATGGCAATATTCCAACTCTCCACACCACTGAAGTTGTAGTCAGTCAACTAGCCTTTACACTCTGTACTTATAATGAACCCATTATTGTTCATACTAATGGTACTCCAATTAGCAGATTTTTTTTAATGTCTTTAACTCTATAGGGCAGTGTGAAAATATACTTTAATCTGAAGAAATCTAAGGGCACTGGAGTAGAACACACAAGAAAAGAGATCTGAAACAGTATCAAAACTCCCCACTCTCAGACTTCCCGTTTCTGCATTTCAAGGGCTGGAGCTTTTGTATTGGTCCTTAAGGGTTAAATGTGGCAGATATCTTCATGTGGGTTTCCCAAGCCACACCACAATTGCTGGCACAACTGTCTGGTGCCCAGCGATTTCCCAAAGTTGAGTGTATCCACCTCCGCTGACTTCTTTCCCTAGCCCTTTTCTTGTGCTTGATGCCCAGACCTAGATGGACTTCTCAATCTTTCTAATAACCCAACCTTTGTGGATTGCCTAGCTATCCTTAATGGCAGATGATTAAAGATTCAAGAAATATTGAGAAATAAAATAGTTTATTCCCTGCTAATCCACAATGTGAATCCCATGCAAGCATTGGGTAACAAAGAAATGTGACACAAATGCTAAAGAAAGCCACGGAGGAATCGCACACCCCTAACCGGGGTAAGGAGAGGAATTGTGACCCAGGAACATCAGGTCAAGGTGAACTCCTTCCAGTGCACAGAGACCACTGGGTGTGTACTCACTGCCTGTATTGTATTGCAAACATTTCCCAGCATATAACTTTCTATACCTTTTTGAAAAGGGTTTCATGTTCATTTATTGGGACAGTGAAATTTTAAAATGGGAGAGGTATCTATATGAATAGCTGAACCCCATATAAATCAGCATATGTAACTGTGAGCACCAGCCATAACCTGGGAACAGTCCCTGAATCTGACAGTCAAGTGTGGGACCACAGGCAAAGCTTTGAAGAAAGAAGATGTATTTGAGAAGACACTTAAGTCAACATCCTTACCAAAGATGACGATGTTCTGTGTGAAACTCTGCAGACTAAAGTTCAGTAAGACTCATCAAAACCAGAGCCCTCTCCTGGAAACTCCCAAGATATGTGAGTTCTTAAAGAAAAGACACCCTCATCTCCCAGTGCACAAAATCTCCAAATCATGAAGCTGAACCAAACCATACAAAGGAGCAACTTTGTTTTTGCAGCTTTAATGGAGGAGGAAATCAATATTAACCTCCTCTGTATGTCTATTTCTGTAAACTCGTGCTGAAGGTTAACTTCCGATCCTGACTTCCTCAAACCTCAGAGATGCTGTCAGCTGTTGACTCCCATGTGAATAGCTTGGTTTTGCTTTCTTTTCTTCTTTTGGTATAAGGCACCTTCAAGTTACCATCCCCATCTTGGCCCTCATGCTGCCTTGGCTCCTGCTGTTGATCTGTGGTGAGTTGTACAACTGAGAATGGGGTTCTTGAAAACATGTCGAGAATTATAGGACTAAGCTTCTGTCTGGGGATGGTTGTGTTGTCTCTCTCTGTCTCTGTCTCTCTCTCTCTTATACACATATTGGTGTGTACGCACACACACAATATAGGCAACAAATTGGTCTCTCGGTTCCTTTTCTTCTATCAACACTTTTTCTTTTTCAGTGTCAAACTTTAGTATTTCTCATCGCCCCCTCCTCATTCCAGCTAAGCTTCTCTGGTGTAGTCCATATAAATGGAAAGATTATTTTTCCATTGTTAGTAGGTTTGCTCCTGACATCCCCACAGCTTAGGGTGGGTGCTCTTTCACCCTCTTTCTCCACTGCACGATCAGACGACACATCCCCAGGTGCCCTGATTGCCTGAGCAGACGAGCGGTACTCTACACAAAGGCTTGCCTGACTGCTTACCACCGTGGAATGTAGAAACCAAGACACACATGTTCTTCACCTCTGCTGGGAACCTCACACACACATCTACAACCCTGTTTTTCCACTCATGAGAACCATTATTTCAAATTTTCTCATTTCTCCTCAAAC